GTATTTTTGATTTCAGCTTCTTGTGAGAATTAATATACACCCGAATATGAATTTATGTAACTCCAATGATGATGTTAAGAGTTTGTCCGTTTGAGGAATAAAAGTTATTACATCTTTGAGACATATTTTGATATATTGTCCCCCATATTTTTGGAGGCATTGTCAGACTGTTAAGGTCTTTATATGAGTGATAATTTTATCAATCATTTGCTTTCATGAGATCTTTTTTAGAGAGAATGTTCACTTAGAACATTGCTTGAAGATGCTGACCTCTGTAGAAAAGGTTGCACCTGTAGGAGATGTTGCGAGAATCTACTAAGGATGTATGACCTATCCAAGGTTATATGTCAGAGCACTGCTCAATGACGTTAACCTATGTGAACGAGGTCGAGAGAATCCAGCAAGGACGTGAGACCTATCTGAGATTGTATGTCAGAGCACTTTGCTCGATGACGTTAACCTAGATGGAAGAGGTCGAAAGAATCCACGAAGGATGTAGGGCCTATCCAAGGTTATATGTTAGAGGACTTTGCTTGATGACGTTAACCTATATGGAAGAGGTCGAGAGAATCTACCAAGGATGTGAGACCTACATGAGGTTGTATGTTGGAACCTTTGCTCGACGACGTTAACTTATATGGAAAAGGTCGAAAGAATCCACCAAGGATGTAGGACCTATTCGAAGTTGTATGTCAGAGCACTTTGCTCGATGACGTTAACCTGTGTGAAAGAGGTCGAGAGAATCCACCAAGGATGTGAGACCTTTCCGAGGTTGTATGTTGGAGTCTTGCTCTACAACGTTAACCTGTATGGAAAAGACCGAAAGAATCCACTAAGGATGTAGGACATATCCGAGGTTATATGTCATAGCATTTTGTTCAATGACGTTAACATATATGGAAGATGTCAAGAGAATCCACCAAGGATGTAAGACCTATCCAAGATTGTATGTCGGAGCCTTTGCTCGATGACATTAACCTATATGGAAGAGGTCAAAAAAATCCACAAATAATGTATGACCTATCCAAGGTTGTATGTCAGAGCACTGCTCGATGACGTTAACCTATGTGGATGAGTTCGAGAGAATCTAGCAATGATGTGAGACCAATCCAAGGTTGTATGTTAGAGCCCTGCTTGATGACGTTAACCTGATTGAAAGAGGTCAAGAGAATCCACCAAGGATGTAAGGCCTATCCGAGGTTATATGTCGGAGCCTTGCTCGATGATGTTAACCTGTACGGAAGAGGTCGAGAGAATCCGCCAATGATGTGAGACCTATCCGAGGTTGTATGTCGGAGCCTTGCTCGATGACGTTAACTTGTATGGAAGAGGTCGAAAAAATCCACCAAGGATGTGAGACCTTTCCGAGGTTGTATGTCGAAGCCTTTGCTCGATGACGTTAACCTGTATGGAAGAGATCGAGAGAATCCACCAAGGATGTGAGACATATCCGAGGTTGTATGTCGGAGCCTTGCTCGACGATGTTAACCTGTATGGAAGAGGTCGAGAGAATCCACCAATGATGTGAGACCTTTTTGAGGTTATATGTCGGAGCCTTTGCTCGATGACGTAAATTTGTATGGAAGAGGTCGAGAGAATACACCAAGGATGTGATACCTTTCCGAGGTTGTATGTCGGAGCCTTTGCTCGATGACGTTAACCTGTATGGAAGAGGTTGAGAGAATCCAACAAGTATGTGAGACCTATCCGAGGTTGTATGTCGAAGCCTTTGTTGGACGACGTTAACATGTGTGGGAGAGGTCGAGAGAATCCACCAAGGATGTAAGACCTATCTGAGGTTGTATGTCGGAGCACTTTGCTCGACAATGTCAACCTGTATGGAAGAGGTCGAGAGAATCCACCAAGGAATTAAGACTTATCCGAGGTTGTATGTCGGAGCCTTTGCTCGACGACGTTAACCTGTATGGAAGAGGTCGAATCGAAACCCTGGAATTGATTTTGCCTTGATCAGGAGGGGCGAACGCCACGTGTATCCCGAATCAAAAGTGAGGAATGGTTTATCTTTAGACTGTTACTGTCTTTTTGAGGTCAAGATTAAGACATTGCTTAAGGAGTAGAAGTCCATTAATGGACTGTATAAAGCATATAACTGATTGGAAGTATCCTTGCATTTGCTGAGATTTTTCTGACATATGATCTTGATGTTGGAAGTATTAAAGGGATCTTCTTGACCATAGTTGGAGTCAAAGTTTCCATGAAATTGATGAAGCAATGGCTGAAATCAGGAAGTTGAAATGAACGACCTTTTGAGGTTGGAGCAAAAATTGCCCCCCAGTCGGGAATCACTTTCCCACAGATAGCGCCAAACTGTTGCGTCCAGGAGTATTCGCGGCGGTAGAGAAATAGAAAGTTTAATGTCTTAGCATTTTACGAAAATTTGGCACCCAATCAGATAAGAGAGAGGATCTAACATTTATGAGACACCAAGATTTTTATGTGGAAAACCCCTAAAAAGGGGGAAAACTATGGGGCATCGCCCAGTTCGAATGAATCCACTAGTATTTCAGTTGATTACAAATGAGGCCCTTTCTTGGGGGAAGGCCTGGGCGTGATGTATATTATATAAAGTACATTACATGTTGGGAATACAAAGAGTCATTGTTGATGTATTCGCTTGGTCGGGAGAACCATAGTCGATCGGCGACGTAAGTTAGGAGGACAGTAGTCGGCTGGCGACACAGATCGGAAGTACTATAGTCGGCGGGGAACGTAAGTCAGAAGGACCGTAGTTGACTGGAGACGGAGGTTTGAAGGACTGTAGTCGGCGGGCGACATAAATTAGGAGGACTGTAGTCGGCGGGCGACGGAGGTCGGAAAGACTATAGTCGGCGGGCGACGTAAGTCAGGAAGACCGTAGTCAGCGGGCGACGTAAGTCAGGAGGACCGTAGTTGGAGGGCGACGGAGGTCGGAAAGACTGTAGTCGGGGGGCGACGGAGGTCGGAAAGACTGTAGTCGACGGGCGACGTAAGTCAGGAGGACCGTAATCGGCTGGCAACAGAGGTTGAAAGGACTGTGTCTGACGATGAAGGTCAGAAGGACGGCGTCAGGTAGAAGTCTAACAATGGAAAGAAATTCATCTTCGGATAAACGTCCAGCGAAAATCTGATAACCGGTAGAAGTCCGACGTCGAGTAGAAACTTGGCGAAGAGTGAAGGTCCGGCGTCAGGTAGAAGTCCGACGTCTGTTGGTGGCCGAGGAGAACTCGGACATTACTTGGGCGGAGTTTCAGCGTCAGGAGGGAACTTTGTCGTTAATTGGGAAGAATTTCAGCATCCCGTGGAAGTTGGGCAAAATTTTGGCGTCCCATGGAAGTTGGGCAGAATTCCGACGTCTTTTGGAGTTCGGGTGGAACTCTGGCGGTGGACGAGGAGGAGTCTCTTCCCTCCTATTCTTCTCTTCTTCTCCTCCTCCTTCTTGCTTCCCCCCTTGCTCTTGCTTCTTCTTGCTTTGGTCACCCCGCATGAGAAATGAGGGGTTTATTTATAGATTTTCTGGAGTGGCATAGCTTGTACATAGGTGTGAGATCAGGGTCAAATATGGAGTGGTCGAATGGACTGTTCATATTGAATCCCTTGATCGTGCACCGTTTGTCAGACATTTGAAGGTCTTAATGATATCTGAATTTGGCGATCTTAGGCTCGTTGGATTTGTCTCGTCGAGCCGCTCGATTCGACTATAAGTGCGCTATGTTTGGAAACCGTTGGTAACTCAAATTGTGGTTTGAACCTTCCAACAACGCTTTGGGTCCTTGATTTGGACTCATTTGGGCTCATATTGAGTCGATTTTGGTGTCGTTGGGTTCGTATTTCCGAGACGATCAGTTCGACGGTAAGTTTGCTGAGATTGAAATTCATATGATCCAAGAATTAATTTTTGAAGTTTCCAATTTGATTTTTGTGCCGAGATTCATGCCCGATCAAGATAATTCTTTGATGACATATTAAGTTTAATTGTGATACAAGTAAATATATAAATTTACTAGCTCTTTAAAAAAAAGTTCATTTAACAACTTATGTTGACATCTGAATTCCAAAATGGGGAAAGATCTAAAAGGCTAAAACTTGTATATGCCATTAAGGATAGTAATTCAAATTAGCTTTGATTTTAATCAAAATTAAGATAATAAATATGCTATGACTAAAAGATGATTTTTTTAAAATAAATTTGATTTAAATTAAATCGACTCCATGCATGATATATGTACGTATTAATTTGTTTATAAATATTAAAAATTTTACCTTTGTTTCTTCCTCTCTCAGACACAAAGAATAAGTGATCTATGGGCATCTCCAACCAAAAAACCAATTTTTCACTCCAAAATGAAATAATTCATCTCCAATTATACGGCATTTTGTCTCTTAGCCATTTTCTCCTCTTTTCCGTGCTTTTCTCATCTTTCACGCATAGCCCAATTTTTTGGCGTAGTTAAACAATCCGAAGCCAATATTGACGACGCATTGTTCACTTGCCAAATTTTGACGTGATATTTGAAGTTCCAATGAACCAAGTAACCAACTGCATATGATGATATACAGTTTGATCGGAGATGATCTAAGAGAGAAAAACATTGGGATGCCTGTTTGCTTTTTAAGAATCAAATTCCTACTACTGCAAGTTGTGTTTTGAGTATATTAGCATGACGAGGCACAAATTTGAACAAGCTATTCGCAGTTCGAAAAAGTTTATATAGGAATGCAATAACGAGGCTCTGTTTGGGATGATTTTCTTAATGATTTTTAAAACAATTTTTTAGTACAAAGACTAAAAATTTTTGTACTAAAAATTTGTTTTAAAAAAAAACAATAAGAAAGCGACTTTGTTTGGGATGACTTCGTACTGCATCGTAAAGCAACTTTTTAATATTAAACTACTGCTTTAAGAAGCAGTAAGAAAACCGCCCCAAACGAAACCTAAGTCAATAAGAAGCTTATAATTTCCTTCTTAACTTAATAAACTATGCAATTATAAAGCAAAGTTGTGTCACCAAAACAGTCACATTATATTTCAGTTTTCTCATTGTAGTAAAACATCCATGAATACAGGAAGGAAGAAATCACTATTTTACAGAGTTCACAGAAAAGGAGATATATCACTGCTGATACTCTTCTTGTATATTTGCAATAACAAACTGAATCAGACATTTTCATGTGTCTTGAGGTTGAATTTAAGTTAGATGCTAGGAATAATGGAAGTTATAAGCTTGACTCTCACTCAGACTCCTTTCTTCTTTTTTTGGTTACTTTTATCTTCCTTTGTGAGCATCCTGGGGGCAATGGCCATAGACATGAGCTCTTGAAAGAGCAACTTGCAAGCATAAGGTATGTGCACCTACAAGTTCAAATCAAGAACAAATGAGGCAATTATAAACAACAAAAAGATTTTTCTCAACCAAGAGAATCTACAAAGCTAATCACAAAAAATACAAAGAGAATTGACCAACGGCAGAGCATATGAACGCAACAATAACAAGAACATCAAGCCTTTTGTCCCACTACGTGGGGTCGGCTACATGAATTCTTTTTCGCCATTGTGTTATGTTAAAAGTCAAATTCTCATTTAAATCTAATAAAAAAAGATCATTTATAATATTTTCTAACCAACTCTTTTTAGGTCTACATCTACCTTTCTTAACATAAGTCAAATCTAATACCTCAACTTTCCTAACCGGGTAATGCGACCAAACCATCTAAGGCGACTCTCTCTAATCTTATCTTCCACTGAAGCTACTCCAACCTTTTCACGTAAATGTTCATTTCGTAACCTATCTCTAAGGGTAAAGCCACTCATCCACCTAAGCATCCTCATCTCTGCAACACTTAACTTAGTATTATGCTTCTCTTTTAATGATCAACATTCGGCATCATAAAGCATTGCAGGTCTCGCCACCATCTTATAAAATTTTCTCTTACGTTTGAGGGGGGCTTTTCTATCGCACAACAAGCCCGATGCATTCCTCCACTTCAACCATCCAATTTGAATTCTGCTGATAATATCCTCTTCTATTTTACCATCACTCTAAACAATAGATCCAAGAAATCTAAAAGCATATGAACGCTATTATTAGAAAAAAAAATGAAATGCAGCTGAAATGGTTCAAAGTAGGGGCCTGAGAAGATAACAATTCTTGCAGTGCTGTTATGAAAGATAATTTTCAAAATTTTCAAATATAAGAAAAGCTTATAAAAGTTCAAAAGGATGCACTCTAAGGAGCACAAACAAAAATGGCTGAAATAAAGCGGCACAAAACAACTAAGGCTTCATTTGATTGGATGTTTTATGTGTTTATTTCATTTTAAAACAGTAAATTTATTTCTTCTTTACTGTTTGGTTCCTCAAACCACGTTTCCAATAACACCATTTTATTCATTTTTCTGCTGTTTTGAGAAAGCCTTTTATATATATTTTTCCGTTGGAAAACTCCATTATCTAAACTAACATTTCTAAAACTATCTTTTACAAAATGTACCAGATAACCAAAAGAAACCTAAACAAGTCAAAATGGCGTGCACAGGAAAAAAAAATTGGAGAAATCTTACTTGAACAATGTCAGTTTTGTTCTTGCAGCCCCTGCACTCGACTGAATTCTTTTTTAGATTGGCAATTGCTATGAGCCCACATATCTCACAAACATGAACTCTATAAGCATCACTTTGGTCAAACAACCTCTCCTTGAGAAAATGAGCAGCCCCATGAGCAATCATGCAGTCCCTTTCCATCTCTCCAAAACGCAAACCACCATCACGAGAACGGCCTTCAGCCGGCTGCCTTGTAAGAATCTGCACAGGGCCACGGCCTCTTGAGTGGATCTTGTCATCCACCATGTGCTTAAGCCTCTGGTAGTAGGTGGGACCAAGGAATATCATGGCAGTCAATTTTCTTCCAGTGTGCCCATTGTACATTGTTTCAAATCCACGCATCTGATATCCACACTTATGCAGAGCCTTACTGATATTATCGACCTGAAACCACAATAATGTTACAATCATAACATTGTATGGAATCATATAAGGAAAACTACTGTGAAGGTTAATGAATTTACATAGAGTCCCAAGGGAGATCTCATTCTACAGAGTAAAGAATGAAAAGAGTTCCATTTATAGAAGACAGTTGAAAATGAACTCCCATAGGAACCAATCATTTTTAACAATTAAAATGCATAGATGGAGGTGTAACTGAGCTGAGTGTGCAGTTCAACGAAAAAAATAGCTTGTGACTCAAGCTCGATGATTCAACAAGTTAAGCTAAAGTTGGCCTTGACTCGGCTCATTAGGATGCGTGCTTGTTTAAAATAAAATTAACGAGTAGATTTGTAATTGCTATAATTCAAGGGGTTTAAATGGGAAGTTAGGATTAAAACCTAAAATTTTAGTTCCCATCACCCTTTCCAGAGCTTCCATTCCTTTCGTGATTCCACCACATCTCCTCATAATTACTTCCATCTTTTTCCAAGCAAAGAAATTGCTTGCGCCACCAACATGAGCTCAAACTCATATACTTGTGTCAAATCAAACTCAAGCTGCATATCGATCAAGTTTGACTCAGATTCATTTTTAACATTTACCAAGGTTGATGATCACTCAGTCTTTTGATCTTGGCATAATGCAAAATCTCTTATGAGTTTGAGTTAATAATGCAAGGTTTTAAAAGCAACCTGAATAAACCCCCAACAGACCAGCAGCAAGAACTAAACAAAGGGGGCTAAAAATCCATTTTTTTTTCCCTAGAATGCAAGTCTAAACTGTCACTATTATGGTGCAGATAACAACCTCATCTCTTAATGAGAATGGTTTTCATAAAAATAGTACAGAAAAACAAGATTGAGGAACCATGCAGTGAATTATTATACAATTAACATTTGATTTCTCACATGTGAAAGAAACCTCAAAATTTCCAATGGAATGGAGCATCATCTCATAAATGCTTTTGGATCTCATAACATAAATACTTTTAGATCTCATAGATTCTATATTAGAATTTGTATATACCGTGACATCAGTGAATGGAGTGGCGTCTCCTTCTTTCCCCATATGAGCAGCAACCTTTCCCATAATACACTCAATAAGCTGACCAATAGTCATTCGAGAGGGAATGGCATGAGGATTCACAATAATGTCAGGCGTAATGCCTTCAACAGTCCATGGCATATCTTCCTGAGTGTAAGTCATACCCACAGTCCCCTTTTGGCCATGCCTGCTACTAAATTTATCTCCAATCTGAGGAATACGAACAGATCTCATCCTCACTTTCACAAATCTCAAGCCATCAGCATTTGTAGTTAATAAAACCTACAAAAGGAAAAGAGGATAAGAATGGCTTGTTTACATAGCTCAAAATGGCTTAAGAAATATGATAAACAAAACAATCACATTTTATAAGCATTTCTAGCAAACAATACAGCATAAGATCAAGGTAAACTGAAACAGAAAAAGAATAAACTTTATGTACCTGATCCACCATCCCACTTTCACTATGGCGTAAACTAGTACTATGATCACGCTGTGTATACCTTGAAGCTGCTCCCTGAGCTTCATCTTGAGCAATTGGAGAAGTCTTCCCAATAATGACATCTTCACCAGAGACCCTTGTCCCCTGACAGTGTGAAACAAAAAGAATTACTTTAAGAATTTCCAGATAAATTGAGGCTTCAAATGATGAAATTGAATTACTCACAGGAGGTGCAAGACCATCATCGTCTAATTTATCATAAGATCCATGCCTCATACCCTTCAAAAAATCAAGGAATCAAATCCAGATGGATTATGATATAGATTCTTTATTTTCAGACATGTTGCAATACACACCATAGTATTTTCTCTATTTGGACGTCCAAACTCTTCTTTCACAAGAGTACCCATCTTTTTTTCTTCATCTCTAAAAATTAGGTTGTGTTAACCAGACAAAATTAAATGAGAACATCAAGTATCGAAAGATTACAGGAAAATCATACCTATAAGAACGGAAGAATAAAGATCGAAAGAACCCTCGGTCTATCGAAGATTGATTCATTATAACAGAGTCCTCTTGGTTATACCCTGAATAGCAGGTGATTGCAACAATAGCATTCTGCGGACAATTATAAATATCACGAGCTACAAAAATAGACTTATGCAGCTGTATATTCAAAGAAAAGAGAGAATATCATACAATTCCTGCAGGAAGCTGTCTGAAGTGCAAGTGTTCCATAGCACGAGTTGTAACAAGAGGCTTCTGCGGATAGTAGAGGACATAGGCTAGAGTATCCTAAAAAAATTAAAAAAAAAAAACTGAAATTCAGTATCAAGAAGCTCAAATAATCAACAAAGGCTTTGTCTAGGACAGTGTTTTTGCTACTTTCTAAAACGGCTTTCTAGTACAAAAATTTCTAATTTACACAAAAAAATTGTTTTAGAAAGCAACAAAAAAACTGTCCCAAATGAAGCCTAAATCAAATGATTAATGTCCTACCATTCGTAATTGGTAGTTTGTTACATAAATCCCCATGGCCTGCTTTCCCATTGCTGACTGATATGTGTTACGAGGTGACTGAAATGCAATGAAATGCCCAATAAAAGAATAGCCAATGAGCTAACTAAATAGAGGACTAGAAACTGATTCAGCCAGGTGGAAGTACCTGGTTGTGATCAGGAAAAGGGATAATTGATGCGCAAACGCCCAAAATTAGAGATGGATGTATTTCACAATGGGTGTAAGTTTCCGCATACGCATCCTCAGGATTCTGCCTACCATTCACAAGATCCTGAAACATAAAGTAACGTTCAAATAAAAAGTTCAAAATTCCCAACAGGTGATAAAACAGCCCACAAAAACAGAGGAACAAGCAATAATTTCTCTTTAGTATAACACGCAAACAAAAAGGTTTAAAAGAATGACATGTTCAACAAACACAACAGCTAAAATTTATTTCTTGCTCCATTATGGCATCCCCAGGTATAGTATTGCAGGGCTTGCCATTTCTGCATAAACCAGTGACCCCGAGCCTTTTCATTTCCTTAAAATTATACAATTAAAAAAGTATGTACCATAGCACCAGGAAAAAAATGTACATTGCCTCCTCAAAATGTGGTGTTTTCAACTAATCAGTCAATTCTTACTTATTATTAGTTGCAAAAAGAATGCAGAAATTTATTTTTAACAATAAAGAATATTATCAGGTGTTAAAGATCACATTTACATAGTAGAGTGTTACGGTTCAGGCGGAGCCAACAAAACCGGCCCAGGTGGGGCCGATTCAATTCTATAGGATGCGGCCCAAGCCACCTCCTTAAGGACCCCCCATCACCCCCCCCCCCCCCCCCCTCTCCCCCTCTTTCGGGGGGCACTAAGAGCAGGCAATTAGAGAGAGGGAAGGGGGGCGGCTAAAGCTTTGGAGGTTAATTTGAATTTGGGTTATTTTAGGAAGTTTTTTTATTGGGAAGATGTATATTTTAAGAAGATGAGAGGTTAGGTTTAGGGCATGCATGATTTGAGATGTTCTCTAGCAGTATTCCTTGGTATCTTGGGCTCTAGATCTATAATCTAGAGATTGGGAGAGATGATCCTCCTCTCGAATAGAGGATCATTTGTATCTTGCTTGGAGTTTCTTTTTTCTTTGATTCTACTATTGCAATCTACCGTTTTAGATTGATTTCATCCAGATTTTCTTGTTTTTCTCGCTGTTTTGACCAATTATTGCGAGGGTTGCTTGCGAACTCAAGTATTTCCTCTTGGATTCTTGCGAACTCAAGTATTTTCTATCACAGTGATAGCCAAAAAACTCACATTAATGGTCATGGAAATCATAGTGGTCTCTTCTTCCTCAGTGTCTATATACTCAATAAATCCTTTTGCAACAAGATCATGCCAACCTTCTTCTGGTGTTTCCTGCAAAAGTCGGCACAAAAAGACAAATTCATAGGTCTTTATGAGGTACCGATTTAAAAATAGACTCAAATTCGAATCTTTATAGTGCCACAAACCCGTTGTTGCAGTGATATAATATCTTTTTTCTTTATCAAAAGCCTTTGCTTTTCAACAATGAATAATGGGCGACTACAGCGACCATAATCCGTATAAAGCCGCAATTCTTTAAGACGGATGTCTCGAATAACCCCCACCTCAGTATTGACATCAATCTAGAAAAGAGTATCAAGTTAGCAGCTGCTAATGCAAATAAGCTTAATATTCAAATGTGAAGCTTCCATCTATACAGCAGAGTAATAGTGATTTAGTAATTATGAATAATCCAGCCAAAATACTAGAAAACAGTTCATTGCAACATAAACAATGCAGGTAAGGTTTTAGGGAAATGATTAACATTAAAGATTACTAATACAATTAATCATTATAATAAGATTAGAACAGCAAATTTAGCCACCAAACTTTCTAAGAGACTATAACCATGTTTCTGTTCAGAGGAAACCATAGAAATATAGAATAAGCATGCATTTATTGCTCAGAACATTAGTCGTGAAATAAAAGAAAGAAGATAATGGAACATTTTCAGTAAATTTTTCACAGGCATCAATTGACCAGCTCATCAGCTGCTTTCTCACATGAAGGGGCTATTTGGTTTGTTGAAAATGGATTGCAAAGTATTCTAAATACTGGGGATTTGAATATTTTGGTGTTTGGTTTGATAAAAAAGAAATGTAGAGTAAAAATATGATCAACTCATTTTCACACCGTAGTTCATTTCTTTTTTTTTTTCCTATTTTAAACGCACTCTTTTTGTCGAATTCAAAAATACACTACAAGCTGACACCACTATCACTGCTTGCTCGCCAATAGCATACTCATCGTCAGCAACAATCTGACGCCTTTCCTCACCACCGAGGCCACCAGCCACCAGCCACCACCATCATTAGACTAATAACCTCACATTCTACTTCAAGCCAAACAAAAAAAAAATCACCTTCATTTATATTACATTTATCCAACAATTCCAAATATTTCAAATACATTACATTTTCTTTTAGCCTATATTCTATTTTACTTTACATTCCCTTTTTATCAAACCAAACATACCCTAAAACATATTGATTTGAATCACAATAACATATTGATTTGAATCACAATACTCAACAAAAATATTATTTTCGATTGAAATTCTAATTTGTATGTCATATGCATATAACCAAACGTGAAAACATGTCAAAGCAAGAAGAGTAGTGGAAACTAAGGAAGAGCCAAACGAGTGGTTGGCTCCTAATGTCACTAACAAGAAGTTTCTTTCATTTCTATTTCTTCCAAAAGCAATTGATAGCTTTGGGGATGCCATACAAAGGGGTTGACATCCTCAAGCCTATAGCTATGATCTTTGTTAATCGGGCAAACATGTGTGTCCTTAGGTGGTAAACCACATTCTCTTTCTCATCTATGCAATAAAACTAGACATCTATATCACAATTTTAATATTCCCGACCTACGAGACCAAACATTTCATGGAAATAGAGTTCTTTATTATGTTAAAAAGTATTAGCCTCATCACCAAACAAAACTATCAACCATGGCACCGTTCGGATGCTAATTTCAAATGTTAGATCGCATAACAATAAAAGAATTACATAATTACTTGAACAGAGTAAAGAATGAACTAGACGAGAAAAGAGATTTCCACTAGCCCGGAAGAACAAACAACATATTCAAAAAGAAAAAGTTGCATACATGATAATTTAAACAATAAAGGTTAACCCCCGATTTATTTAACAATTACATGAGCAATAAACAAGTTAGTTGGTTTCTAAAACTACTGATTATAAACAAAAATAATGTTATCAAAAATTATTCAAAATGATTGCGAGAAGCAAGTTCAAAGATGGAAGGAATGTTTATGATATAGATAAATTAGCATCCTCAAAACTCGAGAGAAAAATAAATTTTAAAACAGGTAGCGATTATGTATTATCTAAAGATTCTCTACAATGAAAAATAGAAAAATGAAATAAATGAATGCAAATATTTAACACGCCTATAAAAGGAATAAAAATAAAAATAAAACGGTAAGAGAAATTGAGATAAGAAAGTTGAACCACTAAACAATTAAACCCGTAATTTCCTTCTAAAAAAACAAGCTTCTGCATGTCGAAAGGAAGCAACTGAACAAAGAATTACACTATAATATGATTGAGACCACAGCTAAACATGTTTACACAAGCATAGTCAATTATTTCTAACCATGCAAGCAACTTAAATTTGGGAGAACACATACCTGTCGTCTTAGCTTCCTTAAGGTCTTCACAAGGAGGTCAGGGTTCCGATGAATGCCAACCCAGCAACCATTAACAAAAATCTTAGTTGCTTGCGGAATGACAGCTGGAGAGATTTCCTGTAAAAATGTAGAAAAACAATCTTGAATGAAAAGAGGCAAATGTTAACTGATGGGAATTCAATAGCTACAAATAATAAGCAGAAAGATAGGAAAGAGGGGATAAAAGTTGAATCAAATAACAAGAAAAGAAAACATGATAGGCGAGAATCATAATCATAAGCTTTTTATACAAGCTATTTGAGGTTAGCTTTATAAACCCTAATTTTCCATCCATTTATGCTAAATGACGCCTAAATTAAGCCTATTCCTCCCAAATTATTTTGAACAAATTATATCCATATTTCCTTAGGTGTACCGTTTTTCATCTATAATCCTTCAACATATAACTACCCATCTGATGGGTGCATTTGATATACTTCATTGTACATGCAAAAATCACTTAAGACTCACTTTTTGTTGCTTGAAGTTAGAAAATAATTTCAAAAAAAGTAATGAAATATGCTAAGTCCAACAATCTCAACTTTCAGACTCATAAATTCTCTTAAAATACCCTTAAATATAATATTTGTATTCACATACGCAACGAGAATAAAATCTATCTACAAGCAAACCAATGAGCTCTAAATCAATTATCAACGAACTTCAAAAAATGTACTCTATCCATCTAATATAATCATTTGTTAATTTTTTTTTCTAGTTTTGCAATAAACCTTGTCACAAATACATCTAATCATTCTCATTTTTGTTAAGCTCAACTTAGTAATCAACAATTTCTTTACCTGTAACCAACCACCAAGTTCATACAACTAGTTCGATAAATATAATTTTTATCAAATTTACCATTAAGTCCCCAAGATACACTTATCGCACAATACAACTAACTTAACCACTTGGCACACAATCTTAACTCTAGAAGTTACATCTTTGTCTATATCTCCATTACTCTATATAATAGATCCAAAATACAGAAAATAATAATAATAATAATAATAATAATGGTAGATCAAAAATACAATGATCATCTTTTATAATTTTATGTTAAATACTCTAATCATAACTTTAATCTTCATATTGTGACTAATAAATTAGATCCCTCTATGATTATTAACGTCTTGAACACCTTTTCTTATAAACATTGCTATCAAAATGCTCCATCAACTATTTAGAATCATATTAGCCTTCAAATTTTCATTGTTAGCCAAACCACTATAATAACCTCCATAACTCTAAATCTCAATCAAAAACTCGTCTAGACGTGAGGCTTTGCCTTTATGCCTTCTTAAAAGCATCACTTACTCTTGCTAACTATGCTCTTCCAAAAATATTTCTTCCCAACTTTCATTTCATAATTTCTTAAAATTAAATATTCAACTATCCTTGATCTCTTCTGCTTTTTAACTAAAAGATAATACTAACATAACGTCTAATACATCTATCTAAAAATTACTAAATATTTTGTCTATTTCCATAGCCATCCTGGATATTTCTTTTTTATTTTATAGTACAAAATCTATGTAAATCATTATATATATATATATATATATTCATTATCATATTTGAGAGATTTCAAGCATACTTTACAATAAGCCGCCATAGCATGTAAATTTTGACAGACTTTAATAGAAATGATACTAAACATGAAAAAAAAAAAAAAAAAAAGGGAAAGAAGACAAAAGTACCTCAAAATTTTCAGTACCCCACTCTTCTAAGAATTCTAAGATAGGATGGGCAGCTGAACCTACAGTAATATACACCATCAAAGCAAGGTTCTTCACCAAACCACAAGCCTACAATCACAACAAGAATGCAAAATATTAACGTAAGTATCATGCATAAAATATGCATCAAAACTACTCGAGTCATGTGCAAGATGCTATCCATACAAAAATCAAGGAAATGCAGGAAACCCTTCATATATCGTAGCAAAAATTCAACTGCATTTCCTATTGAGCAACAGAAACAACCAACTAACAATTTGTGAAAAAGTTAATCCTTTGTCAAAGGTTACCATAGCGCAAAAATGCTAAAAATTTGTTTGGCACAACTTTATGTTTTTGCTTTTTTTCTATTTTTGTTTTTTTCAATTTTTTAATTTTGATAAAACATATTTGGTAAATGTTTTAATGTAGCCAACGCAATGGAGAAAAAAAATTCATATAGTCAACCCCACATAGTGGGATAAAGGCTTGATGTTGATGTTGTTGTTGTTGTTGTAGTATATTTGGTAAATTTATTTAATTTTTGTTTTTTAAAAACTGATTAAGTTATTTTTAAAAAAATTAAAATAAATTTTAGGTGTTTTATTTTTTTTCCAGGCAATTTTTTACTCCTATCTCAATAACCGAGCTCCATCCACATCCTCTCCTCATGCTCTACCCCTGAACTCCTATTTGCATTTGCTTCTCATCTCCAAACTTCGTTTGCATCTCCATCCTTGAGTTCCATCCATATCCAATACCCCATCAAGCTCGCTTCAACATCCCCTAGCTACAATTCCTCTACATCCTTAGCAAAACCCATCCCCAAGCTTGTGTACGAGCCCTACATTACTTTGATCCCACAGCTCCTGCCTAGCATCCGCATCATCGAACTTTTGCTTCAATCCCTTCGTGCCCTCCCCAACATATGTCCCCAATCTCACATATGATCCATTGCGTCCATCCAATCCCCAAGCTTCCATCTAGCATCTGTGTCCTCCATGATATAGTATGAAGCATCATCCATCCAATTTTGGTTTTATAATTAAGGTTTATAATTCTCTCAAAATAAAAAACAACTTACATAAAAATATCAAGCAATTTTTTATTTTATATTAAAACATATACAAAAATAATAATAAAATATGAATACAAAAAATGATGACAAATGACCCCAAAATAAGGCAAAAAATAATGTCCACACATCAAACAAACATAAGATAGCAAAAACATGTCAATTACTTGTCCTTCAGGTGTTTCAGCAGGACACATCATCCCCCAGTGAGAATTGTGCAGTTGTCGTGGCTTCGCCAATTTTCCTTGGAAGATCAAAAAGAAAAAAAAAATCAGTAATATTAAATATATACATGATATCAACGGAAAAATAGGAAAAATAAATTTGCATAAATAGAAGTAAAATCATCTTTATCTACATATCTTTAACACCCAAGCATACTCTTTATCCTCATGCCAATATAAACATCTAAATATCTTAAAGCTACCATTTCTTCATCCTCCAGCTATTGTTTTGTTTAAATCAAACAGTTGTTTGATTTAAGAAAAGTAAATCTAAGCCTCCAAGCCCTCCTCCAATCGAATGCTTTTTCTGGATCTTAACCGAGCACATGCATATATAGCTCATTATGAGAGGAGTGAATCAGTGAATCACATCAAAGTTCATTGACATCAGCAAATGTGATTGCAGGCTATCGATGGGAGAGGGGTCACTAATAATTTTTCCATAGGAGTTAATCACATTTACTTCTAGTAGAAGGTTCCTCCACTAATCAAGTTCAATTAGTGAGTGTGAAGCTTCATCACTCCACTAATCAAATTCAATTAGTGAGTGTGAAGCTCCATCTCTCTAACAATAATGGGGATAAAGGAACTCATGGAGCTCTATCTCCACTACAAAGCAATATCTCGGAGAAAATTTAACGAGATCTTGAACCTTAACACAATTTTTGGGTTCCCCAATGTTAACATGCCTGGAAGCATCGATGAGGAAATCAGCCGCGTGATCACTCTTCAAGTTCAGATTAATTTACTTGTTTCAAATTTTCCTTTCGTATTAATCTTTTTTTGCAGCTGTGTTATAACATTAGCAGATGGTATAACAAAACACCAGATTCTAAATCCGCTTCCACAAACTGGCTAATATATCAGCACAAAGACAATATTACAATAATTTAAAATACAGTAGCATATTTAGAAAAGCTCTAGTGAAATGAAGCACTATGTTTGTTAGTGCATCACTTTCCTTCCTCCCATTAATTTCAATGTGCAGGAAGGGTGGGGAGAAGCCAGAAGCATGGAAGAAACCTGCTGGTGTAGAGGGTGAGCTAAATAGGACTCACAGGAAATAGTTAACTCAGAGGAAGAGGAAGAAATGGCCATGGTTAATCAAATTGATAGCTTTGACGTATATGGAAGTTCATGTTGGTATGGAAGTAATTCCAGATTTGGGTGTTACATTCGTAGATAAAGATATAGGAGATATGTATCTGAATCAGCCTAATAACTAACTCAGTTTAAATCATGTATACCTTCACGTCCTATGGGAGAGTTCAATCTTCGTAAGTGTGACAAAGTAGATGCATAAGTGAGGCGATTCAACACCTGAAACCAAATATATATCAGTGCATAAACAAAACAGCAATGAAAGGGGGAGAGAGAGAGTTAAAAAGATGAGCAGGAAACAAAGCACTACTTGTGAAACCCCTGCTCTTGTACCAGCTTGATTTGCTTGACCCCAATTTCCAGTGGCGAGGGAATACTTCAGACCACTTGTGATTGTTTTTGCTTTGATTGCAAATTGCAAATTGACATCTTTTCCATTATCAACACACTTCAAGAACCGGAAAAAATATATATATTGAGAAAGAGCTTGCGCAAATTTTGTATCAAGAAAACTGTTTATGAACATTGAACCTTTTGAACATAGGATCTCACATCCCGTGTTAATTTTCTAAACAACTGCATTTCAAAACCAGAAAAAAAAAGGTGAAATAAGAAATAAAAGAACACAAATCAGAATAAGAAATTTTGAAAGATCCTAAAAACAAACCATTCTGAACAAGCCACCAAGTAAAGGACCTGCAAGATCCAGCCTTTTATTGCCATAGTGGTCCCTATCATCTTCTGGTCGTCGTCCAAGGGCACATAATAACAACCGATGAATAATATATCTGGCAGGACCAAATGGGGTCAATGTATGCAGCATTTTGATTAAAATTAAATAAGGAAAAAATATAACAGTCAACAGCATACCCAAAATAGTAAGCTTTTTTTGTTTCACAATACTCTCCTACACCAACATGTGGAAGCATCTCTTTTTGAAGAATTTCTTTTGCATACCTGCACAAATTTAAGAAAGGCCATTAACTCTCACAATAGATGGAAAGCTCCTTAATATAAAATGTAGACAAGCACATACTACAAATCTAGAAAATGAAGGAAAACAGAATGGTAATAGCCCTACTTGATTCTCTTTTCTCTCGTAACACCAACGGTTGCCCCTCGCTTCCCTATGTAATCCAACGCCACCTAAGGAGAGAACACGTAAAATAAATAACAACGACATACATTTAGAAGTGAAACGCCAGTTGCATGAAAAGATAGCCAAGAAAGAGCAAAAAGTGCAACATGGTGTATAAATTATGGAATATACTACTAGAGATCATTGGATAACTACTTTCCACCACCATAAAAAGGAAGAAATCTTGGACCAGAATTTTAAGGTCAAAAACTTATTTCTAAACTCCTAATTTGAATTTTATGAGACTTGCAGCTCCAAAGTACTTACACGGACGAGTCGAACTCGAGTCAGGGGGTGTTCGAGTTGAGCTTAACTGTCAAATACCGAGCTCGAACTAGAGTCAATCTCGAGCTCGAACTAGAGTCAATCTCGAGCTCAAACTAGAGTCAAGCTCAAAAATCGAACTCGAGCTCTACTCGTTCCATTTTAAACGAGTTCGAGCCGCTCGTCGAGCCTCCGTCGCGGTCTTCAAAAAATTTATTCGGGTCTTTTTGGGTTTGAGAGAGAGAGAGAGAGAGAGAGAGAGCATTTACTCTTTTGTGATCGAGTCTGTCAGAGGAGAGAGAGAGAGAGAGAGAGAGAGAGAGAGAGAGAGAGAGTATACAAAAGATTCTAGCATTTATTATTTTGTGGCTCAAGAAGAGAGAGAGAGGAGAGGCGACTGAGATTTGAAATAAACGCGTGGGCAGGCAGGAATTTAAAGGCTGGGATTATTATTTTTATTTTTTTAAATATTTAAATTTAATAATCTCGAGCCAGCTCACGAGCTCAAGAGCCGAGCTTGCTCAAGCTCGAGTCAGAGCTCGAGCTCGTGGCTCGATAAGCTCGGCTCACGAGCTCGTTATCGAGTCGAACTCGAGCCCGCTCAGCTCACTTCACCCCTACACGAACCTAGAATTCACAACATAAACAGCAATAATTTATATATACCATGATAGGTTTTTGGCCAAATTTATCAAGTCAAAACATTGAGAAAAAACACAATAGCTGAGCTTAAAAGTTAAATCTGAGAGTTGGAAGTTCAATGAAAAAATAAACATGATAATAATTTGGCATGAACCCACTTGCCATGCAACTAACTGCATAAATTTTAAATGAACATGAACCCACTTGACATGCACCTAAACTGCATGCATTATAAAAGCAATCAAACATGAGAACTCAAGATGACCTCTTGAATTTCTACTAAGTTCTTCCATTTATTGCAAATATAGCATGTTCAGATGTTCTTTATCTAGAAATTATTTTATTTCTTATTTTGTATATCTAGCTTGAGGCCACTTTTTATTTCAATTCAAAATCTTTGCATTTAAGCATAGGATTTTCTTTGAAAAGATTTTGAATTGAAATAAATAAGGGATAACTTAATACCAAAATTTATCAATTCTTCAGAGTTTTCTATTGTATAATGCGGTTTAAAGTAAACATACAAATCTTATACTTAAATGCAAAGATTTTGATTTGAAATAAAAAGGGATAACTTAATATTAAAATTTATAAGTTCTTTAGAGTTTTATATTGCATAACATGGTTTAAAGTAAACACACAAATCCTATGCTTAAATGCACAGATTTTTCCTACGAGAAGGCTAAACCATGTTATGCAATAAAAAACTCTGAAGAACTGATAATGATTAGCTCTCACTCAGCATGAACTGATGATTGCTTTTAACTTTGTTCATGTTACTCTATGGACATACATCGCACAAGTTAACTATGTATAAAAAATGGTGGTATATGGAAGCATAAATTCTTGAAGAAAAAAAACTAATTAACCATCCATAAACTAAATAACACAACAAATAGGAGGTATACTTTTTTTTTTTCATTCGAGTCAACTTTTGTTGAAGACCCGCCTAGTGGGATAAAGGCTTGATGGTGATGGTGTTGTATTCAAGGAGTCAACTTCTAGGTCAATGGTCATTGGCCACTGAATTAGATGTTTTTTTCCCCATTAAGTCAACACTTCTCTTCATAATCTCCAAGCACAACCTCATATTTAAGATGTTTTTTTTTTTTCCCATCATAAATATATCCTTTAAAGTTCATCAATTTTACCATTGAAACTTATTATATTTCTTCTCTTGAAAACTTCTTTAGTCTTCGAAGATGACACTCCTTTTAATGCCTAATTTCATTATGCCTTCTTTTATCATTATTCATAATCATAATTGTTTAACTTATTCCTCAACAAATTTATCCTGATTCTTTATTCTCAAATGGGATGTAAACTAATCGAGTAAAAAAGTATGCAAGGCTTGGCTATGAGATCAACCATAATAGCCCTTAAATAATACTACATTGGCCTATATCCTAAATTGATAATGATTAGCTCTCCGCAATACATTTCAATAAAATGAGACTAAATAGTCTAGCATGTTAAAAAGTTGATCCAACATCTGTGACAAGCATAAGCTAGTAAATCCCTTCACATGCAAGTGAGAGATTCCGCATGACTAGGATAAAAAAAAGTACTTGTACAAATATTTAGAGCAAAGCAACATAAAAAATAATAATAAATTCTCAAATCCAGCTCAGAATATCAAAATCATGAAAAAAAGTTATTGAATTAGTTAATAATTGCACAATACTCAAACAATCTAGATCTCATTTTACAAAGAGAACCATCTGGTTCAAGCATGAGCCAGAAGCAATATATTCTCCCCACCCAAGAATGTGTGCACCCTAAATCATGTGGACCTGCCCTCCACAACTAAATATACTCTAAAACAGTAGATAATATAACAGGATAGGCCAAGAAAAATAAAACAAGTACACTAATGTTGTACCTAATATAGCCCCTATAAACATAGTCCATTTCTTGTCATATCATATGATGCTAATACTTACCTATTTTTGCACATTAACAAGTCAATTTTAAGCATGCATTATGTTCATTGCATGCATGTGTGTGGCAAGTACACACTAACCAGGCTTTTATAGAAAAACAAAAAAAATACACTTCCAAGGATATTTAAATGGACATATATAACAAAAATCAAAATTTTAGTCCGAAAAAAATAATAATGTCTTTTATATTTTAATGTTTCGTGATTATTTACCGAAACAACCGCAAAGTATTTGTAGCACTACACTAGAAATTCTCTTCAATTCCACCTCTATACATGCCTATCACATTCAGCTATCAAACCCCTTCCATTTTGTTCCCTTCGCCATGGAAAAGGAAGCTACTCTTTTTTCAAACCCATTGAGCACAATTTATAATGCAATTAGCTTCACTAATCAAGGCCTTTTTTATTTGATTGCACATTAAACCAAAATAATATATTAACAAAAGGTTACCTCACAAGATTCAAATTCATTAATTTAATACAAAAAATCATAGCTTCTAGATTGGCATTTGAAACAAAGGTAAGAAGGGTAAACTTGTTGCACGTTGGACTAGAATATTAAACACAAACTATCACTAGCATATTGCAAATTGATACACTCAAGTCGCCAAAAAACAAATATGTGAAGTATTTTTGTTCAAGTATTGTAAATCAACATAGTCTTCTTAAACATTATATACTATATTAGACTCAAGTATTGTAATGCAACATAGCCCTCTTAAACATTATATGTTGAGATTAGAATGTCTAAACAAGAGAAAGCTTCAGGCAATAATAAATGGGTGAAGCAGCAGAAAGTGAATGCTTTATGGTTATTTGAATATCAAGCCCCATATAAGTGGATAAGGCTGGTTGGTTGAAATAACAATCACTAGGAGATCTAGTGGTAGAGATATCTCAATTGAAAATATAAGATAGGTAAGTTATGACAGGCTACCTGTTGATTCTGAATAACAAATGCTTCTTCAAGAGATGGCCGCAACAATTCCATCATTTGTGAGTCGGAGAAGTCATAGCATATATGTTCCAGAATATCCTTGTCAGCAACGAACCCTAATGCTCGGAATACTATAATTATAGGGATATCCGCTCGTATATATGGAAGCGTCGCACGGATATATTGTCCTGAAGAACCCTGGAAAGTCATATCAACTCCATAAATGTGGCATCCATATAAAAGTAAAATTAGAAAACATCTTCACATTTCACAATACTCAAATTTGTTGCAAAGCCCAAAAAATGCACAACAAAATGAAGCCAAATGCAATCCCAAATCAAAGAAATGAGTTCTGCTTACTCCTTTGGCACTAGTTCTTGAGAGCATTCGCACAAACATGCTGCTTGCTGGCCTATTTTGGCTCTCAGCCATAGATCGAACTTCAGCCACATAAGCAAATTTGTTTGGTTGTCGTTTCTTAAAAACATAAACATGATTGGTGCTCATCTTTTCTTGCGCAATCAAAACCTTCTCGCTACCATTGATAATAAAATATCCACCTTGATCGTAAGGACATTCTCCCAATTCTGTCAAATCCTTTTCTGAATTTTGAAAAAGTGTGCAATAACTAGACCTTAACATAATGGGGACCTGAAAAAGGAGGAAAAGAAGATGTGTAGAAGTCCATGAGATGAGTCAGCTTATGAAAGAGACTGTCACATTTTACCTTTCCAATGAAAACTTTTGTGAATTCCTGAGTCTCAGTAACTTCCTCACAATCATGTCCCTTTTTTATAATCTTTTTAGTAACATCCACATACAATGGTGCAGAATAAGTTAGATTTCTCAACCTTGCAGCCTTTGGGAATAATGTAGCGGTTTCTCCATCTGACTCTGTCATCATGGGTCTACTCAAATATATTTGACCAAAGCTAATTTTGTATATTGTCTGCAAGATAAATGCAGATTAGTGAAATTGACACAAATAACACATTGTAAAAGTTTATGCTCAAAAAACTTTTGATGATGAGAAAAAAAATATTTAAACAGCATAATAAGTATAATCCCTTTAAATTCCAAAGGTAAAAGCATCTAACTGGTATCCACAATGTTGTTACTCTACACCCAGATAGCACTGAAGAAAAAGAAGTTTCACTAATATGTATAGAAAAAAATATGGCCTAAATTAGTGATAATGACTCCCGCAAGCATTCATTTTCACAATTGCTAAATTTTTTTTGCTAGTATCATTATAGAACAGCTCATTAGAAGAATAACCAAGGTATTCGATAGAAACGTTGTGAAAAGAAAATTAGTTTCTCCCCATAAGCAACGTTTATGGAGTATCGTTTTATTTAGCTTTATCACAACAAAGAGGGTATCATTCTTACAAAGCATGAATATTCATATTCCAGGAAATTGTAGAAAATTGCCACTTCAATTAGCTTTAGCTGACTGCCCATCTATCGAGCATTTTCACAAGTTGATTGCAATGGTTAGAAAGACCATCACTAGCAGATAGGACCTTTGACTTTAAAACTGAACAAAATAGCAGAATCTCTTAAGGAGAGTACAGTGGTCAATACAATATCAGCTTCAAGGTTCAAAACTTCTTCAAAAAGCTAACATATACTTGTGTCAAATGTTATATCCATTAAGCAAACCACGCAAAATGTTTCGATCGCATTTTTTGTTATATAGTTTAGTTCATTAGCTATGCCCCACTCGTCATGGACAAACAGTAAATAGCGCAAGTCTTGCAAAGACAACGGATCGCAGTGAGACAGAGGCGAACCTCGACGAAGTCCGATTGGCGGCCAGGGTTATGTTGCGATTCAGGCCGAATCTCGATGTCAGCGGACTCGTCCACAATCTCCTGCATAGTATTCTGGATGAACTCGTCGAACGAGTCAAGCTGCTGCCTCACAAGACCCTTCTCTTCGAAGTAGGCGCTAATCACAGCCCAAGCGTCCTCCTGAGTAATTTCCTCATCGTCATCATTGTCCATCATGTAATCATCAGCCCCGTCCATTTCCGGCTGAAAAAGCTAATTTCGTCGATAAGAGATCCAAAGAAGCCGGATTTACAAGATTTAAGGGGCTTTCACTCCTTCTCCGTCGCGATTTCTCTCACGAACTAATCTTCTCGAGCTCCCGTCGCAACTTCCACACCTCTTCTCTGCCGACGAGAGTTCGGGAATTTGGGTTGAAGCGGAAGGACAGAAGACCAGGGTTTCAGTTTCGGGAATTTAATGCGCTACCGTAAGTGTATATAATTGATAATTTATAATTTATTTTGGGGGATTTATATACATACTACTTTATTTTATGATATATATATATATATATTCTATCTTATCTTGATAATTCCATGTTCAAGAAGGTCAAACGCTAGTTTCGCAAGGATTGGACGTTTCTTCACGGCAGTCCATCCATCGTTTAATAACCGGGTCGGGTTAGGATCACCCCGTTTGAAATACAGGTCAGTTCCCTGAAATTCGATTTTGACACTCCTAAATATATAAATGCATAAAGCATTTTGTGATTTCTAAGTAAATCTTCTTTTATTTTTATAAACTTCATTAATTCTCTTTAAATAATGTTACGTATCAAATATTTAAAATATATATTTACTTATTAAAACTCTTTAGCACTTCAAATATAGAAATTAATTATCATAATTTAATTTGAAATTATCACAACGAATCTCTTGAGATCTCAGCCCTTTATGATTTATCCGGCCACCTTCAAGTTAAAATCACCCTCCACTTCTTTAACTTTCTCTTTTTTTTTTCCCTTTGTTATATTAATAAATAAAAAATTAAACTAATACATTTGAATTTATTCATATGATTATGATATTTATATAATTAAGATATAATAAATAAACACAAATCTATATCTATAAGTGGCTTGTCATTTTATTATTAACCTTTAAACTTTAAATAAATTAAATCATAACAACATTGAGGAGCAAAAGGCCATCAAAACCGATACCTACATAAAATGATTTGGAAGAATCTGGCAACATGAAAACCTAACAAGTAACGATAATCATGACATCAGATCCTATAAAATAAATAACTAAAACTTTTTTTCACACTCCCGCTTCGGCTCCGTTAGGGTTTTCCTCGGCGCTGGCTGCTCCCCATTTCTCCAATCTCAAATTCTATGAAAGTTTTTTCCTCTTTCCTCTTCTTCTCTATGGTGTGCCCTGTTTCGTTTTTTTTTTCAGACATCAGATCCTAGAAAATAAATAAATAAAACTTTTTTTTCACACTCCCGCTTCGTTAGGGTTTTCCCTTGACGCTGGCTGCTCCCCATTTCTCCAATCTCAAACTCAGGAAAGTTTTTTCCTCTTTCCTCTTTTTCTCTGCGGTGTGCCATGTTTCATTTTTTATTTTGATTCATCCACCTCTGGCCTTTTGGCCAGAATGGCGGCGAATCGACTGGTAGACCCTGATTTTTTGGATGGGCTGACCAAATCTCATTTATTCCTCGATGCCCTTTTATGGTAATTCCATATATGTAAATCTCCTTAACTGAAATCTACCACTTTTCATGGATTGTCGTCTCTGTGGATCTCCAAGGAAAAAAATCTTGGCGCTTACTGCTTCTCTCCAATTTGTGTTGGTCAATTTTTTTTCCTTTTCGCCGCTCTTCTCTTAACTATATTCGTAGTTCTTTTTTCAATCTTAAGCTAAAAGGAAAATTCTCTGTTACGTTGTTGGACCTTTCACATATTTTGGTTAATTTGTTCAATGACATGGATTATAGCCGTGTTTTTTGTCATATATCATTCTTAGTTAACAATTGCTATATGAAGTTGACAAAATGGTCTCCCCTTTATGACATTATTGTGGAATCGCCGGTTATACCTATTTGGGTTTCATTCCCAAACCTTAAGCCACACTTGTTCTCTCCCCGTATTCTTAATGGGCTTGGTTCGGTATTTGGTCGGTCGTTGAAAGTTGACAATGCTACTTTGATTAGGTCTCGTCCATCTCCTGCATGTGTTTTGGTTGAGCTTGATATCATAAAAAATTATCCTGATAAAGTTTGGCTATGTCCTGAAAATTATTGGTGCATTCAAACTTTTGTCATGGAGGAATTTCCTCCTTTTTGTGCTAAGTGCAAAAGTATTGGGCATGTGATTGGTTAGTGTCATCCTTTTCCCTCCTCTGCCCCGTCGAGTGCTCCTTTTAATGTATCTATTACTGCAATTGTTAATGGTACTTATGTTGAGAATGTTGTGGATGATTTGAATAAGTTGGATAATTTAGAAAATACTGCTTTATTACTTGCTGCTTTTGTTCCTAATGTGATGGTCAATGATGACTTGTGTAAGGAACCTGTTTCTGTTATGATTATTGCTCTTACTATTGGCATGGGGGATGTTATGGGTGATGGTGGTGTGGACTATGTTCCTTTGAATCATGTTCTTGTAGATGTAGTTGTTGACCTCGTTTTTCATCCGTGTAGCCTCGAGGAGCTTCGATCAATTTAATTGAGCCTCGTCGGGTTTAATTCGAGCTCGAATCGGCTCGAGTTGAGCCGGGTTGGACCCGACTACACTCGATTAGCTTTGATTGATTTGTTCTGATCGCGTCGAGCCTAAATTGATCGAAATTAACGTCGATTTTGAGCTTAATTTCGTACTATTAGTTCTTCCGAGCCGGCTTGAGCCAAAATCGACTCGAATCGAGTCAAAAATTTGGACCCGAGTCTAACCTAATCTTAGCCAATTTGATCTGATCCAGCTCGGTTTAATCCCATTAAGATCCACTCGACTTTCTAAATAATTTGAATTTATTTTCTAAATCCGGTAGTAGCCTCGACGGCTGCGATCAAACGAAATATTTGTTTCAGTCCAAATCTCGCTCCTCTGTCGATTCTCTGTATCTCGGGCAGGCGTCGAACAGTGAACGAAAGCTATTCACAGTAATTTCGGAAGCTGGAGCACGACCACGAGAATGCGCGGGCTTCCTCTTTTGGCGTCGGGCTCAATTTACTGGGAAAGAAGGCTCCAAGCTGGGGGTGCTCTCCCTCACGCTCTCTCTCTTGAATTCGCTCCCTCTCTCGCTCGATTTTCACAGAACTTCTCTCCCTCTCACGCCCAGCTCTTCCCCTCTCCTTCTTCCGACCTCTCGAGCCAGGAAGAAGCCCGAAGCCGACCTCCCTCTGGTTCTCGTTCGAAGGCCATCCAGCGACCCGAAGGTTCGCGTGCCCGAACCGATCCTACCACCCCGTTCGACGTCGTCTGGATCGAACCCGACCATCCCGACATCGCTCGTCTGGACCGACCCGCACTCAACCTCCCCTGTCTTGGCCGTTCGACTTCCTCCAAGGCTGTAAGGTATTCTTCCCTTTTTTTTTTCTCCTCCTCCTCCTTCTTTCTTCTTCTTTCTTCTTCTTTTCCTTCTTTCCTTCTTTCTTTCTTCTTCTTCATTTCTGTTGGCTAAAGCTGAAGAAAATAAATGGGGTTATTACCATGCATATATCCTAATACATCTAGTCATCTCATTTCTTAATGAATACATTCATTCTCCATGTTGGATCTGGCGATAACCTTGCAAGTGAAATCGAGTTTGTTTTGATGAGTGGGTTTTGTTTACAGCCCAAGGTTTTTTTTAGGGTAAGATGTAATGGAATAGCTTCGTCTTTTGTTACTAATGCAATGTTCTGAATGTCCTTTGAATGACACAATATTTCCTTGCAATCCATTCGTGAAAAAAATATAGAGAGGTTGATTTATGATCATGAAAATGCGTTATTGAGCATGTCTTTATTACTGCTATAGGTGATAAGAGCCCTTGGTATTATTGTTGGTAACTAGATCGTTAAATATTTTGAGATGTTTATTGAGTGAATCATGAGGAAATTTGTGCAGAATTAGCTAAATGAGTTCAGTCAAGTAGGCATATATATATATTTTTTTATGTTAGCTTATCTTATATGATCCTACAAATATTGCATAGTAACTGTTTGATAAAATGCCTTCAAAAAAAATATGTGATATTCATATGGTTTCTTTCTTAACCAAGTCCTTTTTTTTATTTATTTGTTTGAGGTTCTTTTTTTTTTATTGGAAATAAAATAAGTGCGGATTTTGATTTGTTTTATACTCCAAATTATTTTGGGGATGAATTAGAGGTAAATACTTCATATTCTCATTGGTTATGAGACTTGTAATATTATGTGTTTTGGCATAAAAGAAAGTTTGTGGATTTGGGTTAAGGTCTTCTTTTGGAATTTTCATCGGCATGAAGTATGAAAGAGGGAAGGTTTTGGTAAGCCTTAAGAGTTGTTCTATATTAAAAGTTTGTTAAAATGTATACAGAGGCATATGATTTATCTTGATAAATCAATGGCTGCACCTATTTCACTTTATTTGGATATGCCGACACATGTTTTTCTCCTCTTCATTGAGTTTTTCTTGAGGTTGGAAGGAAGATTACATGGTTTTCTTGAGAAATAAAGCATGGAAGAATTTGTTTGGTTTATTTCTGCAAAGATTATTAAGTAATATTCAGCATTTGTTCTTTTTTTTTTTTGTAAAACTTGAATAACTGTGTGATTCGTGCTATGTGTGTTTTGTTTTTTTAGAAGTTTTGGAGGGGAGCTTTGAAGGGCTTTAAGAATATCATGATATTCTTTATCAAAAAAAATGCATGTGGAGTGTTTGGTAAAATGCTTTTAAAGAAACATTGGGTTATGAGGTTGGTGATTCATGAAGATGGGGCTTGCATGAGAGGCCACTTGACTAATGTTGGATGACCTTGTGTAGTTTTAATACTTTCACATGTTTTTCATGGGTTTGGATATACTTACGTTTGCAATTCTTCCCAAAACCTCTTTATTGAAATGCCTAATGCTCTCTTGATCATTAATGTTGGGAATGAATCTTGATGAGTCTTAAAGTGATTCTTCTTGAGTATGCACCTAGATTAAAACTTTTATGTTAATTTTGTTTAAGATAATCTTGTGAACATGACGCGCTTGTTGTTTGACGAAACGTCTTCAAGAGGTCTTACTTGGAACAAGAAATTTTGAATGCTAGTCTACACTTCTATATTAATTGAGAGTTCTTTTTGTTGCCTTTATTAGCGCCATGAAGGATAGGTAGTATGTGGATTTGGAAGGACATTTAATTGATAAAGTTGGTTATTTTATTCTTATTTTACTTTAGTAATGCGATATTGAGGTTGAATCTTCGCTTGATGATCCATTTCTAGAGTGGTTAGATTCATGCTTTTATGTTGGTGAAAAATCGCATAGTTATGGTAAAATATTCTCAAGACCCCATGTGTATGTAATACAAGCATTGTCATTTCTAATCAAAATGCCGAATTCTCTCTATTTAGCTCCCAAATAGTTTTATCCGGAGATTGCCAAATGCAGATTTTGCTGTTTTTTAAATTCCAAGCTGCTTTTGGAGATTGCCAAATGCAGATTTTGTTGTTTTTTTAGCTCCCGAATCGCTGTAGGAAGGAAATACATGCAGTTTTTTTAATGTTTCTTGACTTCCGGATCATCGTAAGAAGGTTATAAGTGCAGAATTTGAGGTTTTATTGCTATTTTATATGAGAAATCCCATGGTATTTTGGGTGAAGCTTTATTCGTTCATTTGTGAGGTTCCCTACAACTTTTGTGTGACTTTTCTTACTGTTTTTTTTGGTAGAAAACGAGTGCAGATTTTGGAGGTCTTTTCTCGCCGTTTTACATAAGAATCCTAACCGCTTTTGGACGAATTTTGTATCGCTTCTTGGTGGAGATTCCTACAGTTTTTTTTGTGTAAGTTTTTCTTGCTGTTTTTGTAAGAAAAAGTGTATGTTTTGGAAGTTTTATTGCCGTCTCTTTGCCCAAGGATCTTTTGTCATGAGAACTTGTTTTGTATAAAAGTATCTTGGAAGTATTTGAGATGATAAAAGTTATATGTGATGAATTGGATAACATGTTGGAAACGACTTCTTAATGCGAAAGACCTATTCATGCTAGTTATATGAATTTGTTGGAAGGGTTATACATTTGGCTTGACTTGTTGTCATAATATTTACTTGATGCAAACTGAAAGGTGGATGAGCAATAAGTTATCTTGGCCTCCTTTATAGAATTGGAAAATAGATGTTATAACTTCTTTTTCTGTTTTGGCTCATTGAATTTTTTTTAAATCACCATGGTATTAGTGAATCCTCCATTGAACTCTACCTCTAAGCAATGTGGAATCGATTATGTTTGTTTTGGGAATGGAAAGCTATCACATACATGACTGAATATTTCATTGAGAGATTTTATGCATGCTTATATTTGTGTCATTCCGCTTACACTCAATTTGATAGTGTTGCTATATAAGTTTATTGGAGAGTCTTCATGTATGTTTATATTATAGCCTGTGAGATGATTTAGTATATGTTTTGTAGTTCCATTTACAATTTTCAAGCGCAACTATCTATATCTCCATAGGTTTCTTTAATGCGTTGTGAGTTGAAAGTTTGCTTAGTTAAGAGGAATTTACTGGAGAATGTATTTATGCACCGTTTTATTTATATTTGCAAAAAAAAAAAAAGAATAGAGTAAAGTCTCTTTATATACTTTCTCATGAAATTAAGTTGCGTTTTTCATCCATAGTTTTATTAGATATTGGGGTTGTTTATTCGCCGTTATTAGCTAATATCATTTGAGTTTCTTTTAACAGTCGTGTAAGTTGTTTTAATGTTCGGAGAGTTTTACGAGATAGTTCCCCTTGCTTTTACTGAAGTTTTCCTATGAGTCGCTTTATGTCGCCGATTTAGAGAAATTATTTTTGATCGAAAGAAGTATTGTTTTGCTTTGTTTAGAGTAATTTATTAGTGGCTTTGAACTTATTTTAAAGGGTTTTGTATGACGAATTTAGTGAAAGTTTTACAACGGGGAGTTTTATAAGACTATCTTGTTGTAAAGCTTTGTATTTTCATACCCCACTCCAAATGAAAGTTGAGACACTTGATTGTGGGTAGAATTTTGTGTCAAAATAGGGGATTTTGGTAAAAGATTTTGGTAGAGTTTTGTGCCAAACAAAATGAAAAGAGAAAGGGATTTTAGTAGATAACTTTT